AACTTGTGAAATTGGCCAAGGAGTTGAACGTCTCGCCGTTTTATTATTGCATGCGAGATGAAATTGATGAACTGAAATACAAGAAAGGTAAATTTTACGCCATCACAAACATTCACACGTCGGATCAATAACTTTTATTTCTTTGATTCTTTCGGTCTAGAACCGACAGAAGAGATAACGAAATTTACTAGTAAACCAATCAAATGTTCTACGTTTCAAATTCAAATGCCAGGACAAAAGCTGTGTGGACAGCTGTCGCTTTGGGTTTTATATCGGTTGAGTTTGGGAGAAAAGTTTGAAGAAATTATAATAAATTTAACTCAATAAAAATGGCAAACAAGTTTGGATTAGGGTCTTTACCTCTAGAATCTAAAAATCCCATGAGTTTTACGGCGTTTATAAACAAAGCGAAACCTTTTTTCGTGGATCAAATCGGAGACACCTTACAAGGGGATATCGATATGAACAATTTCAAAATAACTAATTTAAAGTTTCCAGGAAACGATAACGATGCCGTGAACAAGAAATATTTACTGGATCAAATAAACGCAATTCAAATAGAAAAGGACCATGTTGAAAATAGAATAAATGACGTGAAAAGATACATCAGACGAAATATTAAAAATCTTGTGGACGAACCCAAACTACAAGAAGAGTTAACGAGTTTGAAACGTCTTATTCAAGTGGATAAAACAAGTCAGTTGCAAAATTTAATATCTAAATTAGACGATAAGATTACGAAGGTAAAAATAGACGTCCAACGTTTAATAGACAACCCAAATGTAAACGAGGATAGATTGAAACGAAAACTAACCGCTTTGGAAAGAAAACTTGGCGAATTGCTAGCAGAACTAGACAAGACCACGGACAAAACCGAGTTACAAAATTCGATATCCAATTTGAACGAAAAGATCGCGAAGCAAAAATCAGATGTTCAAGATATAATTAACACACTTCCCATTGACAAAGATACGTTGAAACAACAATTGACTGCTTTGGATACTAAAATCTCGGACGAATTGGAAAAAGAAGTGGGTGTGATTAAAAACTTTCTTCAAAATAAATTTCGAGATGATATGAAAAATTATATTAAAGAACAGGTCAATCTTTTGGTATCTAGAATTCATGACGATTTTTTGAGACAAGAGAGAAAGTTGATCAAATTAGAAGCTATTGTCACGGACAAATCGTATTATTTCAATCTTCCATTCGAAAGTGACACTGTCTTCGATAGAAAAGACCAAATTTATAACTCAAACAAATACGGATTCAAAGTAGAAATAAAAGTGGGTTCTCTCGAATACGGAGAACCTAAAAACGTATTCGATATCGGCGAAACGGAAGCGTTTACTTTTCGAGGTAATTGTCTGATTCAAATAGAGTTTCCCATGAAGGTTAAAGTCAATAAAGTAGTCTTCAAACAAACCGGTAAGGCCGTCAAACATATTTCATTATTCAATGAAGGTAATTTGGAAGAGAATATACGTTTGTTTGATAAAAGGAATTATGAAATTGAAACGAAAAATGGTAAATATGTAGACACCTTTAAATTGGAAGTAGAAAATTTTAAGGGTATCATTGGAATCAAAGATTTGGATATGATATTGGAGACGGAAAATCCACCATTAACCAACATTGTCAAAATTCCACCATCACTTATAATACCCGTATACGTACCCGGACCAATAGAATCGAGCAGTCACGAGTTTTTACGAACAACAGACTTTGAATACGTAAAACTGTATTTTGTTTTAGGTGGAAAATATACCTCGATCGATGTTCATAAAAGTCAACAAGAAAGAGAGTTTATAGTGCATTTATCGGTTGCCGAAGACTCCGAATCCATCCTTGAAGGTGGTGGTTTTATTTTTAGAGCCAAGATAAACATCGAAAAAGAAAATATAAAATATTCCTATCATCTTAAAGAGGACCATACGAAAAAAGAAATGTCGTTAGTACGCGTAAATGTTTTTACTTTTAATACCCGCAAATATGATAATGCTAGGCCAAACAAGCGCGCTCTATACGATATTCCGTGGTTCCATTTATCGGAAATTCACTTAATTTAACGACTTAAAAAATGGAACTCGAAAGCAGACAACAATACATGATAGACAAACAGGAAGAGTTGAAAATAAAGTTCAGACAGTGCAATACATGCAGGAAAACATGGAGTAGAATCGATCCTTTTTTCAAAACGGCGAGCACAGTTCTAACGGTAGGAGTAACGGTGGCAACGGCCGTGACTGGTGGATTAATGCTTCCGGTCATCGTCCCAACCGTATTGGCTGCATTAACAGCCGTTCAAACGACTTCTTGCGGTCTCATCACTTTAGGTTTCACGAGCAAAAAGTAAGCTCATTATAAAAAGAAAACGGATATCTTGAATATGTATCTTAATCAATTGTACATCTTTTTCGAAAGATCGAGAGAAGACAAGAACATAACAGTTGAAGAATTACAAGAATTCAATGAAATTTTGGACAAATTCCATACAGAAATATCAGCGGTCAAAATAAAGAAATAATCAAAAATATATACTTAAAAAAATATGAATAAAATCGAACTTGCAGAAACATTGATAGAAAACGCCCTTTTTTCCGATGTTATCAAGGCTATCTCTGATAAATTTAAAACATTCAAAGGACAAATTAAAAAAGATGGAGAGATAGTCGAGGAAGGGAATCACAGACAATACATGTCGCTCCTCGGTTTCAATGCCAAAACTTTTCACAATATCTTTTCAAATATGGACAAAAAATCCGATGCTTCCGATTGGTATTTTACAGGAAAAATAATTTTAATGAAAGACAATTTCCAAGAAATCAAAAGGTCGAGAGTTGGTAGAGGAGGAACTGATCTACTTAAAAAGATGAATGAATACGAAGGCGAAAATTGTTTCATACCTACAGATGGTCACTGTTTTATCAAATGTGTCAATCGTGTTTTAAACGAAGACTACACGAGAGAATTTCAAGAATACATCAACGGGTTTTCAAAAGCAAATAGAAAAGGAGTGATGACTTGTGCTAGAATGAAGGAATTCAACAAGAAATTTAACACTTCGTTTCAAATTTATAATCCCAAAAACAGACATTTTCACCCCAGAGACGTACATGATGAATTAGATTGGGTTTTTTACTTACACAACTCCTGTCTGATTAGAAGAAGCCAAAAAAGTTTGGGAATTCAAGAAATAGAAGACAATTACGAACAGGTGTGGAAAACGTGTAGAGACGACAACGCAGTAACACAGGTTTCACCTCTCAAACTAAACGTGCTTTCAAGTATGAGTGATGATGCGTTATTCGCTTGGGATTGCGAAACGTATTCAGAAAAAGACACGCGAAGAGCAATTCCTTATGCCTGCACTTTAATTAATTTAGAAAAACTAAGAAAAAAGTTAGAAACGATAAAAAATATCTTTCCAAATATAAATCCTACTGATAATGTTCCAGAAGAATTTTATGATAAACTAATGAATGTAGTAGAAATATTTGTAGGTACAGATTGCATCGATCAAATGTTGAAATATTTAGGTCAATATGATAGAAAGAGATTAATATTAATTTCTCATAACGGCAGTGGATTCGACAACTGGATCGTGCTTAAAAATGCAAAAAAAACTAACGCATTGCCATTTAAAAACACCCAGAGGAATTCTACCTTTTCCTTTATCTAATCCATACACGGATGAAGATTTACAGAAAAAATGGAAAAGACAGAAAGAAATAAAGGGTAATTATTTACAACATATTAATTTCACGTGTTCTCTAGTTTGGCTGCATGGGGAAATTCTTCCAATCTCCCCGCGAACTGGGAGGAATTGAGACACGAATGGGAACCTTACGCCAATAGAGACACTCTCTGTTTGGGAGCTTGTTTGATAAAATACAACCAAGTCACGAAAGAAGTTGTAAACCAGAATATGTCCAATAATCTAACGGCTCCATCTTTATCTTTAAAGGGTTGGTATTATTTATATCATTACGATAAAGAAATGGTGGAAGAAGAATGGTATAAAACTACTCGAATGGTTGCGAAACATACCGAAAAAGAAAATATAGAAAAAGTTTATTCGCACACTAATCATTTTATAAGAAATTTTATCAGACGATCTATTAAAGGAGGAAGAGTTTCGGCAAATAGAAAATCATTTGAAACGAACAAAATGGATGAAATTTGTAACGTATTAAAGGAATATATTTCACAAACAGAAAGTAATAACATAATTGATTTATTCAAAGAATACAGCGCAAGCACAAAAGACAAAACGGAGGTTCATTCGAGACTTAAAAAAATAGAATGTACTAAACTAATGGCATTTGATGCTAACGGTTTATACGCTTCCGCCATGTCGGATTTAGACAGTGAATATCCAAGAGCGGAAAGTGGAAGAGCGTTTCTACCAGAAGAAGAAAAAGAATTTGTAAAACTCTTCAATAAACAAAAATTCAGACCTAGAACAGCTATTTTAACAGTGTGGTTTGACTATCCCAAAAACATGTTCTTCCAACCGATACCAGCTAAAGATAAAATCACTTTCACGAATAAAGAAGGTAAAAAGGAAACTGGTAACAAAATCAGGTTCAGAAATGGTTTCTGTCACGACGTTTTAACATCGGTCGATATTCAAGAAATAGTTAAAGCCGGTGGGCTAATTATTAAAATATTAGATGGTATAGTTTACGAAGAAAATTTTAAAACTCCACCTTATAGAGATTATATTTTAATTTTGAGAGATTTAAGAAATAAATATAAACGAGAAGGTAATATCGTGGGTAGTAATTGCATGAAATTATTAGGTAATTCCTTGTATGGTAAATCAATTCAGAAAGATATATTCACAACTAGACATTTATGGAATGAAGCAACTTTACAGGCCAACTTTGATTCACGCGTTAAAACCTATGAGAAAATTAATGATACTCAATATATTGTTGAAACAGAAATTGAAGAAAAAGAGATTACTACCGAAGATAGTAAATCTACACGACTAACACAAAATAATAAAAAACAATTTGCATTTTTTCTAATGAACATAGAGTCCATCCCGTAAAAAGATTGGGATTGGTATATGCAGTGACAGATGTGATGTCTTCCTTTGGTGAAGAATTCTTGTTGAACAGTTTGATTTCTTTGCGCTACGCAGTCGTCAAACAATATTAAGTTTTTTCGATTGCTATCAATATTAGACAAGTCTAGATCATTAACATTTTTCGTAAGAAAAACTTTTATATCCGTTGGATTGAAAGATGGATTCTTTGATTTAATGAAGTTTTCTATGATATCTTTTATTTCCACTTCTTCTTCGTTTTCTTCGTAATATTGAAATATGTCTTGAACGTCTTTCTTTGGTAAATATTCCAAAGCTTTGAGGAATTGATAATATGATTGCTCTGGTATTGTTGTGTAGATATACAGAGAATCGAAATCTAAAAGGTTTGGTGTTGTCAACATGTTAAAAGTGAGATGAGTTTTCCCAGAACCTGAACTACCGCAAATACACATGAGCATTGGGTTATTAGGAAATATTTCTGAATGATTAAATTTTTTGCCCATTTTTATTTATTACATTTTCGTACCAAAAATCACCCCGTTGCCTTTATACTTTGAAAGGAAGATTCCCTCGCCCGAACGTATGTTTTTAAAAAATATGGCGTCGCCCTTGTGTTTGACCTTCATTTCTCCGGTGTCGATTTTATCTATTAATTTGCTTAACCCCTCTTTAACGGTTTTCTTGGTTTCTTCGCCAAATCTTTGTCCGAATTCTTTAACCGTCCCTAATATATCTCCTACTCCCGAACCTCCTCGTGCTTCTCTTTCCATTGCCAAATTGTGTCTATGTGCTTCGGCGTTTGCAGCGGCTTCAGCTTTCTTATCGTTGACAGCTTTGGCTATCCCAGCAGCTCCACCAGCAGTTGCACCAGCTGCAGCTAAACCAGCAAAGATTAAAGGTAAGAAAGGTAAAAATCCACCTTTTTTAGTTAAATTCTCATCAATTCTTTCCAAGTCTATATCGTCTCTGACTTTGCAATGTTTGTATTTATCGATAATCTTTTGGGTTATATGCACTTTTTTACCGTTGTAAGTTATTAGAGTCGGCGAATTCGTTTCCATAGCTTCTATTATTTTCATAACTAAAGTTTCTGGTTTCATTTTTAAAGGGTGTTTTTTTATTCAATTCTTATCATTCTTCTATCTGCTATTTTAATTAAATGTTTTTCTCCAGCAATAAACAGTAGCCGTCACATCTCC